ACGTCCCTCGCTTACTCTCGTTTTGGCACAGGCGGTCAGATGAGGCCGCATTGAATCACAAATAGGCACAAAAGTACAATGTGAGAGCCGTTATCGGTCATGAGGGGTCAGCGTAAGCGTGGTATGTTATGTGTAAGTGTAACGGGGCACACCCTTGCGTGAGCTTAACGCAAGGGTATCGTGCCCCGACAAGCGTACACGAGGCAAACGAGGAAGCGTAGATGAGGGAAAAGTAAAACAGTTATATTAATAAATTAAGTCTTTTAACTATTGTCTCTCTGTTTAACCTGACTTAATTATGTTAGTATAACTGAGTGTATGGTGACGTCTCGTCACCACTCATTGCCCGCGTCTTGCGGCGATTCGTGGGTTGATATCATCAAGATATCAACCAATGAGCAGACCCTTGGTCGACCCTTCAATATCACCGCTTCGGTGATATTGTTTAAAGAACATTCAGCATAATATTCTTTATTGTCACTTTTCTTATAGTGACAATTCCATGTAACGGGCTGCCCCGTTACAGTAAGCGTCACTTACAGCGTACGTCATTAGCCACTTCATGTGAATGAAGTTTTCGTTTGAAAACGATCAGAGCTGCGCTCAAAAGTATCACAGCGTGGCCACCCGCCGTATAATGTGAATCCTGGCTCGGGGCACAATGCTGGTTTTACAGACTGTCGTAAATCATCCGGGTCTTTGTGCCTAACATTGTTTGGCACCCAAGACACCGGTGCCCCAGTCCTTCACTGCACCCTCAACATGCGCATCGATCTTCAGTAACACCTCTTCGACAAACTTGCTTCGACTTGTTCGAATTCTCGTCGAGACGTCGAGCGCTACAAGCATCAGCACGAATTGAGACCTACACACTTTGACGCAGGCAGTTTTTCGCTCTTGGCGAGCTAGTCTTTGTGAAGTCACGACTGGAAGAAAGCGCTGAGATCCGTCGGAAAGGTACAAAACGTTTCGTGATATGTTCACGCGGAAACGTGCAGTACTTCTCTAAGCCACCGAAAACGCTGATATCTCCTTGGACACGTCTGCCACTACAATGAAGCTCTGTTGAGTCGTGGTGACGACGGCGTTTGGGCTGCGACCCAGCGCGATCTCCTTTATCACCAACGCATTTGACGCTTCGCAGTTGTCGTTATCGACGAGCGTATCCAGCGAAACTGCTGCACGATTATCCCATATACAAACCTTCGCATCGTTGCCGGCAGATAGCAGTCGACCTTGATAATTATAAGGCGAGAAAGTGAACCTGAGAAACCATGGCTTTGTGGTGCTTTAACCGACGCACTATCTGCTTCAACCCGATATCGACAACCGCAACATTAGCATCTCCCAGACTAACCTCCATAGACTTTCCATTAGGCGCGCAAGCGAGCGAGTGCACCAATAGCGGGTTAAACATCTGCTGGGTGCCGTGTCCGTCATACTCATTTGCAGTGTTACACGGGTAGGGCTGGGCAAATCGAATCTTCGACTCGAGGATTTGACTCGAATATTCGAGACCTCTAAATCAATCGAACAATTCGATTGTCGAATATTCGAGTGGTCTAGTCGAACATTAATTTGAAAGCGACGGTCACTTTCCAATTTAAACTCTTCGACCTACAACGGTAAGAGATGGAGATCACCTGAGTGGCCTTATCTTCTCTGTGAGTGCTACGAGAGGCTACGCAGCGTGCAACCCGAAGGTAGAGTAATATTTCGGTATCCCGCAAAACAAGGTAAGTTACAGAGATTGATAGACCCGTGCCAATGTTCGTTTGTACTCACGAAATGCTTTGACTCGCGCCAACCTGTTTGCTGTGTATCAGGTCTTTTATGCATAGCAAGTACCAGGCCAAAATATTCTTCGTCGTGTGGAACGCCAGGGAAGTCCGCGCTAGTTGTGCAAATGTATATGCGTGATGAGCAGAGAAAGTCAAGTACCACGGAAGCGGTCAGGAATCACGTCAAGATGGCACGCTGGGACTTCAAACTGTATCAGGCCTCCTAGCCAATGCTTTATCTACCTCTTGAAGCTGATGCAAGCGCGACGCGACGCGTCGTCCAGCCATCCGGCCAAGAGTGAGCACAAAGTTTGAATATCGGATTTGGTCAGCATTAATGATCACGTGCCTTTCGAGTGTGTCCCCGTGACTACTGTAGCACCAAGCAAGCATAACGTGGAACGTGGAAGGAGAATGTTCGTGTCATGATTGATGACAGAGGTGGTTTCCACTCTACGTATGTATCAAAAGTGATAAATAGCTCTAATAAAGACAATGTAACCTTATAAAAAGCAACTCTTGAACTGTTACCGATGAATTGATTTTTAGCGTACTACGTGCCTCCCATTTAAGCCAATTTCTAAGGCAGCAACTTGCGCGAATGGTGCAAGCCCCAGTAAACATCATTCGTCAATAAATAACAGGCTTGCCGCGGAGAAAGCTCCTTCCCGATGATGTCGAGGTACCAGGAAGGGCCAGGTAGTCCATTGCCATTTTTGCCAATGTTGAAAACGTTTTCTTGTGACTGCCAACACAAAGGTAATAGTGTCATATGAGCTTCTTGTGCACTCCGCAAATATATGTCGAGTTCATCAATGGATGTCACAAGGGATGTCCTTGGCTTCTTAAACATTCGGCTCCCAAACTTATTCGATAACAGCTCTGTAATTCTGTGTTGGCGGCATTCAATTCACTCGAATTATAGCTTGTGGTGTATATATGTCGCGCAGTTCGGAGTATATCCTCTAATTCTTCGTTTTTATAATGGTTCTCATCATACCGTACAGAGTAGTAGCCAAGACGAATTCGTGAGTGAAGCAGAGTCGCTATTGTGCAGCTATGGCTTGTAATGTCGTAGTCGCGTTCAAGAGTGTCCTTGCATTTCTTAATCGATCCTTTCATCTCGTTTGTGATCGTCGAATTCTCCGAAACTAAATCAATGTGATCCAATAGCTCGGTGTAGAGCGGTACCACTTTCGATAGCGTAACGTACGTGTCACCGTATGTCATTTCCGTAGCGATCTTGATGGCCAATATAAATTCGTGAAGATTCTTTACAGTGTCCCACTCTGTGACCGACAGCTTAAACTTTAAAAAAGTAATATTCTGGTGCTGCAATACCATCTCAAGCTGCGCATCGTTGTTGTCTTTGCATTCGTTCTTCTTCATCGTCGGCCAGATCGTGCATATGCTTAGTCAAAGGCTTGCGTAACTTCAACGCCTGGTCCAACATGTCGTACGCCGAATTTCAACGCGTATTAACGTCCATCACGGGTTTAATTGCTTTATTGCATCACTCTGGCCGTTTTCATCTTTATGTGCCTTGCAGTAATCTTCCAGCTGATTTATTTTGCGAGGTGCGTGTCGAGTAGCATGGGCGGTGTCTCTAATGGCGGTATTACTGCCTTTAATCAATTGCATGATGTTCTGTACCGCTAAGTTCTAAACATGCGCAAAGCAACGAAGGTGCATGTCTGGAGACAGCTTCACATCAGGTCTATCCTGTAGCTGCTTAAGCATCGTTCCGTTGTTTCCGGCATTGTCAACAATAAATCTTAAGGTCTTGTGTAAAAGACCCATATCGTCTAATGATTTTTTGACCACCTCTACCATGTTCATTTCTGTGTGTGAAACAGACACGTGCACAAAATCAATCATCAGCGATTGAAGTTTCCAGTCGGCAATAAAATGCACTGTTATAGCCATGAACGGATTACCATTTGGCGATGTCCAAACATCCATTGTAAAAGAAAGCTTTGATTGAGGCTTCGTGAGAAATTCGGCTATCTTCTTCCGTTTTTCTTCAAACGCGGCCTTGATACAGCGGGTCAAAGTTGTTCTTGAATAGATATTTACGCGGGTATTCAGTACCTTCACCAACTTCCTGAACTTTCACTCTCGATCAAAGCAAAAGGCTGATCAGTTAGTTCAAGAATTTCCAAAAGTGCTGCCTCAAATTTATTATGAACATTGACGCTGAGCAATTGCAGAACTCAGGGCAAGTTTTACCGCCTAAGCGTCGTTGTGAGTCGTGGAGAGGCACCACCAGCTTGGTCGGATGTTTGTCTTGGACGTGCTTAGTAAATTCGTTTCGTGGTATTGTTCACCCTGTACGTTCTTTAGCTATGAATGCAATTGGCTGAGCAGGCAGCTTTGTCAACTATAAAGTGATCATCAACTTTTACATAAATGTCCAAGGTCGCTAACTCTGAACTGGCCAAAGCTTGAGCCTCTTTATCAGGAATATCCATTGAGGGGACTACCGCGGCAGTCGAGTTTAATGATGTGATGGCTGCACTCGATCTTGGGGCTATCGCGGCGGTCGAGCTTAAGCTTACGTTATGGACGGTATGCATTTTGAATTGAGTATTTGTATTGGCTTTATACAACGTATACATAGATGCAGTCAGCAATTCTGCTCTAATGATAATGATTGGTTCTCGAATTGGTCCAAATAAATAATCTACTCCAAATCTGTTAATATAAACTGGCCACCTTATCAAACGGTTTGTTTTGATGTATTTGTCTATAATTATTAAGTCGAATATTCGACTTGAAGATTATAAGCGGCTCGAATATTCGATGCTGTCAAATGTTCGAGTCGAATTATTCGAAAGGACCTCAATGTTCGACGAATATTTGATTTGCCCAGCCCTAGGCACAGGTGACCACTCCAGTCGCATCACTGTTGAAGTCGATACATAACTTTACTCGACCACGAATAAAGTCCCCAAAGAGCAAGAAACCGTCCATACTACATGGTACTAGATCTTACGCTGCGTTTACACGGAAACGTGCAGCGCTTCAGATGTTAGTGTGCTTACCGCACAGCGTCTTAAAAAAGCGATGTAATTCGAGATCGTACACACGAATACTGCCGGTATCGTCCGGAACGGACAGATACCTGCCGTGCTTACCGGGGTGGCGCGACAGCACATCGATCTCGTCCTCACTTTCTTGAAAGACCTCTCGGGCCACACAATCTACAACTAGTGTCGACTACCGCACGTCAAAAGTGGGCACCTTTCTGCTTGCTGCCACGTAGAGGTAAGCACTCTCTGCTCCTGTCGTCGCCTTCCCAAAGGCAAGCGAGTTAACAGCACTCTCGTCCTCTTCATCAGCGTCCAGTGCCTTCTTCACGTTCAGACACTTCGTTACTCGCGCGGTTCGGACGTCCCATAGACGGCATGTGCCGTCGTCACTGCCTGAGACCAGCATATTCGGGTGCAATGCCTCCTCACAGAGCAGCGCGTTGACCGACTTGCGGTGGCCACGAAACGTAAGGACCCGAGAAGGCTGAGCCATGTTGATTTAGTGTCAGCCTTTCAAATGTTTACTTTTGTACGATACAATTTTACCACTTGACTTGAGCATGGACGATATTTACCTTAAATACGAACCGAATCTACAAGAGAACATCCACAAGCCAATTGAATACTAAAACTTGACCTTTTATCCATCAGCGTCGAAAGCAGATCATTTTATGCTTGTACATTGACACAATCCAATATCAAGCGTCGACACCAGTCCGGAACCTTACTAAAAGCGTTTGCAGCAACAGCGCTCGGAATGGATGCCCGCTGCACAATAAGCATAAAGTATGGGCTAAGTTTTGCTCCTGGAACTTCAGTCTCGAGCGTGGTCAGTAAGGTAACTTGTGGCAAAAGTGTCGAACTCGTCCAAGTTCCGAAGCCGGGCCACAACCCATGATAGACCGCGCGTCGGAATTTAAGGCCTTCCTGTTGACGTGTGTTAATCGAATTCCTATCTACCAAATGAGCGTGACATTATAGCGCTTGGGCTATTGCGACTACGTGTTGTCTGACGATGTGTACCTTGCAAACAGCTATAATTTACAACGCAAAAATGAGTGTAACAATTGAACTCGAAAGCGTAATCGTAGGCAGATGCTAATTATATGCAATGCTAATGCTTGTGAAAAAAGTGCAGATTTGCCGGATATAAGCCTAAACTACCGCAAGCTGGATGGCGGGAACTGTAGCGATCGGTACTTGATAATCCGAAGACCCATTGCAAAGCATACACTTTAGTGACCTCTATTTTTTTACAATGCACCCAATCATTATTCTGGCGCTAGGTAGGCATATCAAGACGAGCGTGCTGCACATCAATAAAGCGTAATCTCAATCCATCTGACGTGGCTTGCGAATGAGACAATAAAAATGTTGCATTGTTCGACGCAATAGACAATTTTTTTCGATTTCGTATTGCTCGAATTCTTGATCAAGACCCAATTATATCTAGAGACCACGCAGTTCCATGTATTATGAATGCAAAGATGTAACGGGGAACTGGTGACAACGTACCGGTTGAACAGTACGGAGCTCACTTCCACTGGCAACAGTGATAGTCAGTGCGCTGCTATGTGTTGCACTAACACAGAGGAAGGAAAGGAGACTAAGTGAACAAGCTAGTCTCTTGTAAACGTAATACTGATTTTAATATAATTAAGTCCTATCGATCTTATGTCACTGTGTATCCTGATTAATTATATTAATCTAACTAAACGTATGATGACGTCTACTCACCACCCATTGCGCGCGTCTAGCAGCGATTGGTGGGTTGATATAATCACGATATCAACCAATGAGTAGACCCTTGGATCATCTTCAACTATGTCATCATGCTCTGTGATATTGTTGAAAGAATATTGAACGTACTTTTATTTATTGTCACTGAATCCTTAGTGACGATATCATGTAACGAGCTACCCCGTTACATCATCCCACTTAACTGATAGTCACTATTTGACTATCAATTCTTTTGTGTGTACCCGTTGGATGCCAATGGGGACGGGAGGCACTTGTTCGTCAGATCCATTCATTCTGACGTTTCCTCGCGTAATTACCATGTCGATGCGGGAATATTCAACGACGACACAGTCTGCTACCGAGCCAGTCTCTGCAGCAGACGATTTGTCGTCTTATGCTCGTTCTCGGCCTGCAGCAAGTGTTGCTGCAGGCGCATGGTATCGTACCTCATGCACATAGCGACCTCGAGATTGGGGTCATCTACTCTAGTGAGTCAGATTTATCTGACCCGGAAAAGTCTTTAGAGGAATCGCGCTCACTTGCGGTGCCTCGTTCATCAAGAGATCTGTCGAACGAACGGACTCGCTACATGCGTCACAGTCTGTTTGGCAGTGATGATGGATACATTGATGATTAGGATAATTCATCGAAATAGTAAACTTGTGCGTCTTTGCACGAGCGCGTTGACGATGTCGAGAACCGTTGTCATACTGATAATCGTGGTATTGGCAAAGGAACTACGTCGAAGTATGATATGATAAAGCCGTGGCGATTGCTCGACTCGATCATCAATAGCTTGTCTCGCGTGACAAGCCAACACCATCGAATTCTCTTATTAATTGCGAGCTAACTCCATGGCTTGAACTTCAAAAACGAAGAACTTTTGCGCTAAATAATACTTTTATCTTGATGCTTTCTTGTATAATTGATGTAACAATGTACTCAAAAGCGAGGCCTTGTGATAAAGTACGCCTTAAGTTTGAAAAGAGAACGCAAACCGGATCTAAGGTACCGATTGCATCGTTATTCGAGAAAGACAGGCATTCCTTGCCTTATTTATGGTGATCATTGTGCGAGTTGTGCTGCAAAATCGCAACGTGCACATAGGGACGTCGATTACCTAATTTCACACTGGGGAAAGGCTCACATCTCGGCTAAGATGAGGGACGCGATTAAAAACTTGCAATACGTCTACAAGCACCAAAAGCGCGTGTTTAACAATGGACCCGGAGACCAAATAGATGTGTCTCGTCGTACAGGTGGACGAGAACCTCAACGTCAGCCATCAGCTGGGATTGAGGTTCCCATCTATCATAAGATGGTGGAAACCCCCGCCAGCGGACCAGGTAACTTGTCCGCTCCCCGTTCTTCACGCGGTGGCTCTAAACACGACCCACATAAAAGCGTCGACTACCGTGATAATCTACTAGTGGCTCCGTTGGTGGTGGAAAAACAAATTCCGGCTCAGCTGCCAGGCCTGCATAAAACTTTAAGTAACCATTAACGTTACCTGACCTGGTTGAGGGCGGACGTTGACAAGAACACGATCAACGCCTTGACTTGTTGACGACCATGCAACGTCTCCGTGCCGATCGGGAGAAAGACTGATCGGATTTTGCGTTCGCTCAGCGTGAGAACGAACGCGGGAGGCGCCATTTGCGCAACGAGCGAGGGGCGGATCATCGCGAGACTGCTTTGCTGAAGGACCAACAGGACTGTTTGGTCCGTGATCACAAGAATTTGTCGGTGACCTTTAGCGTGCTGGTCACCTCTGCTCACGGAAGAGGTCTCGTACTGATTATTATGGGCGGAGACTACTAACAAAAAACGTAGGATGCGTGTGCATCCTGGGTGGCAATTCGATCGTGTATGCATTGCCTTTGCGATGCAACACTCGAAATGACCTAACGTATTTCGGCAGTAGTTTACTACTGCCGACACTAGTGACTGCATGTCCAGGTAAGTTTACCGTAGATAGTAGTACCAAGTCATTAACCTTAAATGAAAGAACATTTGCTCTTCCATTCTTGTCTGCGTTCCGTTTCTGGCGGTCCACCGCATTTGCGATGGATTCCTGAACGAAACGGACTACCGCCTCTTGAGTCAGCAGGAAGTTCTCTGCTGACTCGTTGTTTTTTCTTTCAGTGCGCTTCGTGCGCACTGCTAAGAGATTGCTCTCTTCTTCAGCGAGGTTGTCGTTTTCCTCGCTGGTATAATCGTTGACGATGCTGAATATACCAGCATCGTCATCGTCATCCGAGTCAGTAATAGCGTCGCCGCTATTATTGAGGTGGTTTTCTTCATCGATGTCGACCTGATCGACATCGGCATCATACGTGACGACGTTCGAGTCGACAGGTGATGAGCAAGAGCCAGAACGGTTTTTGCTCGAGCGAGTCCCTCCCCCCTTATCCAAGAGTCACTCTGTATAAGGGCGAAAAATACGCATATGGCGTGAACCATTCACGTAAAACGGTGTGTGCTGTGTGGAAGCATGCACCGAATTATTGATGGCGAATTCCACCATTGGAAGAAATTCGATCCAACTTAAAAACGAGTGGACATATCCTCGAAGAATCTCTTCGAGGACACGGTTCGCACGTTCCGTCTGACCATCTGTTTCCGGATGGTCAGAAGTAGACATCTCAAATCATGTTCCCAAAGTGCGGAACACGGATAGCCAAAATTCCGCCGCAAACCGGGGATCACGGTCGGATACGAGTTCACGGGGCAACCCGTGGAGTCTAAAGACAGTGTCAAGAAAGACACGAGCACAGCCGGGTGTCGTGATGGACTCAGGGCACTGCAGCAAGATGCACCATTTTGCTGAACCGATCAAGGAACACAACAATGCCATTATTCTTGTGAGCGTCTTCGGGAAAACCGAAGACGAAGTCCATTGAAACGGACTGCCAGCACTCTGCCAGGACAGATAGAGGCTGCAGTGGTGCACTGGATGAAGGACTAGGCTTCACCCGTTGACAAACCTCGCAAGCACGTATGTACTTGCGTACAAACTGATACTGGCGGGGCCAGTAAAAGTCACGACTTACCGTGAGGTAAGTCTTTTCTCTCCCACGATGGCGACCTGTTGGGGCATAGTGACAATCATACATGATGCATAATCGCAAATCATGATGAGTGGGGGAGACGATACGAGGCGTGTCGCCGTCAAATGCTGTTTAATATAACAGTCCGTTACGCGTTGTGTACCGATCCGATGAAGATCGGTACAAAGCCGGTAAATCCTTCCATGATTTACTGGATGGATTTGACAGATGATCTATGAAGCGCAGACGATCTTTATCTTCCGCGTTTGCCTTTCGAACGTCGTCAAGTAATACTTGACGACGGGACACTGCCTGAAAGTGTCGCAACAGTGGGCTAATCCTCATTGTTGATTTGTGCGTCCGGCTCGAAATTGGGCCGGCGTGAAAGGCATCAGCGACGACATTGAGTCGTCCTGGTTTATACTCCGCGGAGAAGTTATACATCTGCGAAGAAAGACAGCCACCTCGCCATCCTTTGCGAGAGGTGTAGGCTGTTTACGGCCGTGCGTAGTGATGCATGGTCGGTATACACGATGAACGGTCTATCTCCCAAGAGATAGACACGAAACTTTAGCCAGTGCATACTTCATGGCAAGGAGTTGTTGTGTCATGCACTGGGTTATTAAGCTCAGGTGATTGCAGCTGACGCAAATGATAGCAGATGACGCGCGTTGTGCCAACAGCATCAAATTGCATCAACGCA